AAAACTTTCCGGAGTTGGTTCTCTCCTTCCACTACTACATGAGTCCCAGGAAGGAACTGAGGTCATCAGGCTAGGCAGTAAATGCCTTTACCTGCTAAATCATCTCACTGGCCCTTATAGATATTCTGTATTGCTTTTATTATTATTATTATTATTTATTTTTTAAATATTAATTTATTTTTTATGCATACACTGTTCTGTTGGTGTGTATGCCTGCAGGCCAGAAGAGGGCACCAGACCTCATTACAGATGGTTGTGAGCCACCATGTGGTTGCTGGGAATTGAACTCAGGACCTTTGGAAGAGCAGGCAATGCTCTTAACCACTGAGCCATCTCTCCAGCCCTATTTATTTATTTATTAAAGATTTCTGCCTCCTCCCCACCACTGCCTCCCTTTCCCTCCCCCTCCCCCATTCAAGTCCCCCTCCCTCGTCAGCCCAAAGAGCAATCAGGGTTCCCTGCCCTGTGGGAAGTCTGAGGACCACCCACCTCCATCCAGGTCTAGTAAGGTGAGCATCCAAACTGCCTAGGCTCCCACAAAGCCAGTACGTGCAGTAGGATCAAAAACCCATTGCCATTGTTCTTGAGGTCTCAGTAGTCCTCATTGTCTGCTATGTTCGGTGAGACCGGTTTTAACCCAGGCTTTTTCAGACCCAGGCCAGCTGGCCTTGGTGAGTTCCCGATAGAACATCCCCATTGTCTCAGTGTGTGGGTGCACCCCTCGCGGTCCTGAGTTCCTTGCTCGTGCTCTCTCTCCTTCTGCTCCATTTGGACCTTGAGATTTCAGTCCGGTGCTCCAATGTGGGTCTCTGTCTCCTTTCCTCGCTTGATGAAGGTTAATATTCAGGAGAATGCCTATATGTTTTTCTTTGGGTTCACCTTCTTATTTAGCTTCTCTAGTCTGTATTGCTTTTTGAGACAGGGTCTCATTTTGTACCCCAGGCTTGCTTGGGGCTCATTTTGTGGCCACCTTGGTGGTCCTTCTGCCTCAGCTTTCCAAGTGCTGGCATTGCAGGCGTGTGATACCACACTGACTTCTTGTTGCTGTTATTTGCTTTTTTAAAAAAGTTATTTTATGTGTCTGTGTATGTATGCAGGTCAGGAAAATATTTGAAAGAGTTAGTTTTCTCCTGCCACCATGTGAGTCCCAGGGATGGAACTACAGGCTTGGCAACAAAGGGCTTTTACCTGCTGAGCGATCTTGCTGGCCTTATTTGCTTTTCAGTCAGGGTCTCACACCATAGCCCAAATTGGCTTGTAATTTAATATGTAGCCCAGGCTGGCCTTTAACTCATAGCAATCCTCCTGCCTCAGCCTCCTGAGTGCTTGGGTTGAAGGTATAAGCACCACACCTAGCTGAAGCAGCTGTCTCTGGGTTTGTTATGGAAATAACAATTTCAAGACCTAGCGACTGTTGCGTGTATAGTGTCTGTGAGTGGTGTGACCCGCTGGTGTCTAGCTCAGCTCCCTGGAATGTGAAAGAGACGTGGGAGCAGTATTGTCCGTTACAGATCCACTCTCGTGACTCTAGCTGGGTTCTCAGTTCCCCTGGAAGAGAAGTGCTGACGGAGGTTGTGGAGGCCCTGCTTAGGTTACTTTGTGTGTCTCACACATTGTCCTTGTTCCCTGCATTCTGTGTTCATGAAAAATCACACCGGTGAGTTCAGACTTGTAGAGATAGAGCCTCTTCTTTCTGTGATTGTGGATTCTCATCCAAATATGTGTTTCCAGCTGTCCTCAGCACATGTGGGTCCATGGTAGGAACCTTTGGCTGATTTCATATCAGACAGACTCCATCAGCTCTTTAACCATCAACCCTTTTGCTCATAGTATATCTTTTTCATAATAATTTGGTTTTTTATTTTGCTTTGTTTTGTTTTTGTTTTGGTCCTGAAAGACAGGAGAGAAGAAAGAAAGTATGAAGAATATATCTCACTTGGTACAGTGTTTTATCTAGCCTACATGAAGCCCTGGTTTGATTCCTAGCACCAGAAAAGTTGGGTATGGTGGTATATGCTTATAATCCCACCACTAGGGATGTAGATGCTGGTATATCAGAAGTTTAATATTCTCAGCCACATAGTGAGTTCAAGACCACCCTGGAATACATTTGAGACCCTGTCTCAGGAAGCAAACACAGACGGACAGTTGAGATGGCTCAGCAGTGGTAAAAGGTCCTCACCAGTGTGGTGAAAGGTACTTGCTGTGTATGAACCTGATAATATAAGCTCCATCCCCAGAACCTGCAGTGGAAGAAAACCAACTGCTGAAGGTTGCTTTCTGACCTACATACCTCCTCCCTCATCTGTTTGTCTGTCTCTCTGTCATACACACTCTCTCATTAGTAATTTTTTTTTTTTTAAGAAGGAAAGAAGGCTGGTGCCCAGCAATCAGGAGGCAGAGGGAAGTGTAGCTCTATGAGTTCAAAGTCAGACCAATCTACATGTTGTGTTCCAGGCCAGCCAGAGCCATATAGTGAGACCCTGTCTTCAAAACAAGACAAAAGCAAGAGGAAAAGAAAAGCAGAACTCTACTCCCCCAGCTCTGTTCCGTGAGAGGCTGCTTAGGCTCATTTTGGAGCCTCTAATAACCACAGTCACAGCCAGGTTGTAGGAGACTATTCTGGGAGGCCTGCCACAGCAAACACCATGAGCGGATCCAAGGGTAAGAAGAGGATAGGTGTGGAGGTGGAGTTGTCCTGAAAGAGTACTTAGGGGGCTGGAGAGGTGGCACAGCTGTTACGTGCTCTACGGCTCTTCTAGAGAAAACAGCACCCACATGACAGCTCATAACTGTAACTCCAGTTTGAGGGGATCTGACATCCCGACACAGACATACATGCAGGCAAAACACCAACACACAAGCAAGCAAACAAAAAAATTCCTTTAAAAAAAATATTTAAGGACATCAGAGCTCCAAAGATGATGTCTTCAGGGTGTCTTCTACTGTACCAGTGGACTCCCTGGCACTACAGAAGGTAGTTTGGGGGGAAAGACATCATTAAGTAGCCAGGTTTTAAAAAATTTATTATTTACGTTTACATTTATTTTTTATTTNTTTTTTTTTTTTTTTTTTTTTTTTTTTTTTTTTTTTTTTTTTTTTTTTTTTTTTTTTTTTGGTTCCTGTCCTGGAACTAGCTTCTTGTAGACCAGGCTGGCGTCAAACTCACAGAGATCCGCCTGCCTCTGCCTCCCGAGTGCTGGGATTAAAGGCGTGCGCCACCACCGCCCGGCTTACGTTTACATTTATTTTATTTTACACATGTTTGTGTATGGATATTTTACCTTCTATATATATATGTATACCATGTACATGTACCACAGAGTCAAGAAAAGGACATTAGACCTATGGTGTTGAAGTTACATCCCATTATCAGCCACTATGTGAGTGGATAGCCAGGTTCTTGATCCAGCTGTCATTCCTGTCTTGTATTCTCAGTTGATTACATGTTGGACAGAATTCTTATGGGCAAAGAGGCTTAAATGTAGCTCAGCATGGCAGAACACACTTCCAGTCCCAGCAAAGAGAGGCAGAGGCAGGTGGATCTCTTGAGTTTGAGGTCACAAGGCCTACATAGTTCTAAGGTAGCGAATGGTCTACATAGTGAGTTCCAAGGTAGCCAGGGCTATGTAGAGAGGCCCTGTGTCAAAACACAACACAAAAGAGGTTTTACAAGAGTAGAGCTGTGAGGGCAGTGGGCATAGCCACTGTATTTTCACATCCTGTCTTTGGTTTCCAAACCCAGGATCCGAAACTCTGCATTTAGTGTGGCTCTAGAGTCACTGGCCACCTGCCTAGGAGACCCCGGTATTGTTCTCAGTGATGTTGGTTTGTGTTTCTAGGAATTCCTCTGAGTCCAGAGCATGCCCCAAGTCCAGCCAGCCCTGACCTAGAGGAACCAAAAGAAAGGCAGGCACCTAAGCAGCAACAGCAGCCGCAGCAAGAGGAAGCAAGAGTTATTCTACCTGAGACAGACACTGGTAAGTGAGGACAGCTGGGCAGCAACACAGGCGCTCTCAGCGTAGGAAACAAGCAAATACTGAACTCTGCTGCAAAGACTCAGCCTCTAAGATGGGCCTTGGAGAGGTAGCTTTAGTCTCTTCAGTGCTCAGATGTCTGAAGAGCACTGTGGGGGCCTGGACATACCTGTCTGGCTGGAGTAAGGGGAGGAGTGTGAATGGGACCTGCTGGATCTTCTGCGGTGGCAATGCCAACATGGTGGTTGGTGTCCTAACTCCAGTGTGGCGCTAGGTTGACATGCTGTAGTTTCTCAGTGTTCTGAAAACCTGTTGAGAACGCTGACTTTTGTCACTCACCCAGGATCCTGTGTCTGCTCTGTTTACAGGCAGTTCTTGCTGGTCCTTTTCTGAGACTTACGCAGAGGGCACCGATCCTCATGCTCTCAGCTGTGCTTAACTTCTCTTCTTCTTCTTGATGCTGGCCTCATTCCCAGTCCTTGTCGCCTTCCTTATAGTGCTTTCTCTGCATTTCCCCCATGGCACATGACTTATTCCTTCTCTGTGTTCCTCTCAGTGTGTAAGCTCAAGCTTTTGCATAGAATTTGTAATATGAGACCTCAGGTAGGAGGGTAGTGTCCCTGACCATCACAACCTGGGACTCTGTCCTTGGGCCTTTCCAAACCTTCTGTTATTTTGAGGCTGATGAAGGTAGCATATGGAGAGAGAGGTTGTGAGCCTGGGCCTACATGTGACTGGGCTTGTGGCCTTACTAGCTCTGTTCCTACCTCAGAAGCCCTCCAGATGGATGCCTGAAGATTTCTTCCTCGCAGGCCCTTAAGCATGTCCAGGACCTGCTGGGGAAATGGCCATGTCTCCTGTGGTACTTGTGTCAGGAATGCCCTCATCTGATTCTCTCTCTCACAGGGACTCCAGCCAGCACCAGCACTTTACCCATCAAACAGGAGGGAGAATCCACAGAGGGAGAATGTCCACCCTCCCCTCCCACAGTCAGCCTGCCTTCTGTGGGACCAGGTGAGTGGCAGGAGACACTTGTGGCTGTGGCAGAGCTCATAACAGCTCAGAGGGACATTTGTGAGTAGCAGTCAGCCTGTGGTCAACTGGCCTAATGGAAAGTCCTGCTTGAGGACACGCTGCGTGTCTTAGGCGATGGTTTGCTAATGGCAGGAAGGCTGTTCATGTGGTGCTCTGGCACACAGGAACCCTGCAAGCTGGCCTGTCTAGATTCGCAGCTGTGACATCTGGCACTGCACGTTGACCTATGGTTTAAATGTACGGGCTGCACGTGAAGTCCATGTTTTTCTGATAGGGCTCAATGACAAGACCTTTGCTCTCTGCACCTGAGGACTACTATCCTCACTTCAGCCTGGGCTTTTCATGGCTCTGTCCCTTCACTTTTACTGTCTCAGTTCCACCCTTGCATCAGGTGAGACCTGCACTGGGCCCTTATAGGAGTCACAGGCTGATAGGACAGTAGAGGCTCCAGTGGATTTATTTGGGATGAGTGACACACAGGCAAGTCACTCCCATCCCCTCCCCTAGGCCACAGAGGTATTCTCTCTCTCTCTCTCTCTCTCTCTCTCTCTCTCTCTCTCTCTCTCTCTCTCTCTCTGGGGGTGAATATAGCTGACTGGCTTTAAAACCACAGTTTAGCCAAGGCTTGTCTTAAATTTGTGGCGATTCTCCCATCTCAGCTTCCTGAGTGCTGGGATTACAGCCACAAGGCCTCTTAATCATGGTCTGGAAGCAGTTGGGGCCCATGGGCTCCTTGTCCATCTCTATTGTAACTAGTATCATCACAACACTTAGAAGTGTCTCCCCACTATAGTCCCACCCATCCATCTTCCAGAGTCAAACCCTGGACTCCATAGGGTTCCTGGCTCCTCTTGGCTTCTGTAACTTTCTCCCTTCCCCGCTCTTCTTAGCTCATCTTCTAAGAATGAGCACAACACAGCAAACAAAGACCTGCCCATGGTGTCTGTGAGTAGGACCCCCTGACCTGCTCTGAGGATACTCATAGAAACTGGGCAAGGGAGAAGAGGCCTGAACCTGGAACAGGACCTGGATCAAATGGTGAGGGGAGCTGTGTGATTCTCTTGGAAACCAGTCATGATTCCTTTGCCAGGTGGTGGTGCTGTGACCATCAAGACAGAAGCACAGGCCGAGGATGAATCTGAGCAGCAGCTTCTGGAGTCCCTGAGCCAGTCCATGAGCCAGTCCCACAAAAGGCCCAGGACTAGAAACTCCAGACTGCTTCATGACCAGGGAGTGCCTAGGGTACTGATTAGGGAACCCCAGGCCGCAGTGGCTAGGAAGGAGCCACCCTGTACCCTTCCTCGACGACGACGACGACAACAACAACAGCGGGCATTCTCATGCCCTGACTGTGGGGAGAGCTTCCGCTTGAAAATTAATCTGACAATTCATCAGCGGACCCATGTAGAAGAGGAGGAACACAGGGAGGTTTGCAGTGATTTGCCTGTTGGGTCAGGGGAAAGCCACTCCACACTGGAACCAGGGGAGGTGGTGGTGCCTGGTCCTATCATCGGCTGGGTACCTCAGAAGCCCACAAGACACCGTTCCCTGATAAGCAGTGCTTTCCTGAGACAAAGGTCAACAGCTAAGGTTTACCACTGTAGTGAATGCCTGCTCTCCTTCCAGCGACGGAAGACCCTGATACTGCACCAGCGTCAGCACACAGGCATCAAGCAGGGCTGGCCTACCTGTCCCTACTGTGGCAAGGCCTTCCGCCGGCCCTCAGACCTCTTCCGTCACCAGCGCATCCACACTGGTGAACGTCCCTATCAGTGCCCCAAGTGTGGCCGGGCCTTCAACAGGAACCACCACCTGACTGTCCACATGCACACCCACTCATGAGGCCAGGCTATCCTGTGTTTCCTCATTTTGTCTGTCCACTTGGGAGCCCAGCCCTGAAGAGAAAGGCTGACCAGAGGAGCCTGCTATGGCACCTCAGGCTCTCCTGAGTACCCTGGTGGGATCTGCACTCTCAGGCCTTTCCCTTGTTCCTGACCTGACATTGTCCTTCATTCTGGAATGGCTTTGGAGAGTTTTATTGTTTTGTTTTCCACTCAAATACGAAGAAGTCACCCTTTTGGTGACTGTAGGTGTGTGATAGGTGCCTCTATCTCCTGATTCCTCTCTTTTGGACATTCCTGACTCGGGAAAGAATCTTTACCTTTGGCTGGTACTACAGTCAGTAGGAATAGAAAATTTTGTCTCTTCCAGGATGGGACAAGAGAGACCTTGGGGAGAAGGTTTGCATGGATGAAAATCAGCAGTCTACTTGAGAAAGAAAAGAGTTCACAGGTGGCTAAGGGAAGGCACTGGAAATTTGCATTTCTCATTTTTTTTTAATTATTTTTACTTTGTTGCTTTGAGAATGTTTTTCTTGGAGATCCAAAGCTGCCAAGGGACAGGAACTTTGTGCTACCTCCTCCATTTGGTGCTGACGGGGTGGGAGGGCCTGCTTAGTGTAGACTTGTTTTGGTGGCTTGGCTTGGCTGCTGTTCTGAAAGCAGGGGGCTCAGGTGTGTTGAATGCTCAGGGTGATTCTCACTCTCCTGCCTTCCCCTCGTGTGGCAGTTGCATCCTTTACTAGGAGTTGTGAGGGAAATGGAAGCTAGGAATGAGCCACTCCTCTCAGGTCTCAGGGTTGGTAGTGTGACCCTTTGTGACCTGCAAAAATGCCTGATGGAAACTAGAGCAAGCCCAGGAAGCCCTTGCCTGGGGGAACTCTGGGATGAAGCTAGGGACTCCTTCCACCCTCTTGAGCCTCATGTTCCTTGTCTCACAGAACAGCCTAGACGTCACCGTAGCGTAGTCTGTGTCAGGAAGTGCTAGACAAATGCCTATTTTGTCCATCCTTTTAAGTCTGGGTCTCTTCTCTTTGTTGATTTTGTGCCCTTTCTCCCCAGACAGACTCCTTCAGGAAGAACCTCTTTTCTTTTTCCAAGTGGCAGTTCCTTCGGTTTCTAGAAAGACTTTCCAGCCAAGCTGGTACTTGAGGGGCCTTTCAAAAGCACCAGCTGAAGCCCAGGGGTTTGAGGTGACAGTCTCAGACCACAACGTCTTGGGGATGGCTGGTTCATTTTGCCTCTTTGCCACGCCATGTTGGGTGCGGCCCACACAGCCTGGTAGGTCCCAGCTTTCCTGGTAGTTTGCTCTCGTTTGGCACTCAAACACCTGAGCATCATCAGGAGGGCTCCTAGGTACCATCATCTGGCTGTGCTATTTTCTGATGCCATTCAGACCCTTGCCTCTCAGAAGCCCTGAACAGATGAGGCAGAGGGTAGCTCTGCCATCATTCCTGGGCCAGGAATAAGTAGACAAGCCGTTTGGCAGTTCTGGATCCTCCATGCCTGCTCACCCAACTGTTTTCTAAGCCCCTCAAGCAAGACAACAGCTGTCAGTAAGCGCTCAGACAGGATGTGTACAGTATATCTGTTTCAAGCATAATCCTCAACTGCAAAAGCTCATCCCTGCTGTTAGGGAGGTGCTGGGCTGAGGTTCCTGGGCCTCTTTTCTAATGCTAAATGCTCCCTGGAAACAAGTATTCGACGTTTAAAGCACAAAACAAATGTGGGTGGGGAAAGTGGGTGCTGTGTAACCTTGGTTGATCTTGGGCTTGAGTGATTTTCCTGCCTCTACCTCCAGAATGCTAGGATTTACTTGCCTGCGCCATAATGCCCAATTGGGCTTACTGCGTTTGTCCTGGAATTCATTAGGACACATTAAAGAGTGTTTTGAGTTAAAAATGAACTGAACGAAGGCTGCTTGTTGAAGGAGCCCAGCAATGGTGTCTAGATTTGATCCCAGAGTCTACTGGCTCCCTCACTTTTTAAAACAAAGAAATGGTTGGCCCATATGGCTCTAAGAACTATGATGGTGGAAATCTTAGCCTAATTGGTGCTCTATAAACACGTTTGAATAACTACGTGCTTGTGGCCTAGTTTGTACTGAGTAGTCTGAGCTGATGATCACTGTGGTTCGCTTGGCTCCTCCGCAGGTGGAGCTCGTACACCTGCGCTCACACCTGCAGGGTGGAGACAACGCGCCCGCACGCTGCGGGCTGGTGCTTCGGCTCAATGGAGTCTGGGCTCTGTGCAGCCAGGAGGCGGGACCTCCATGGCTAGCCAATGAGGAGCCTGCTTGTGGAGGGTGGGGCCTGCCATCCAGCCGCGGGAGCAGTGGAGGGGCAGCTGAGACAACGCTGGCTCACGTCTCTGTACGTTCTGTCCCGAGGCTATTTGCCCCGGACGGTCGTCCGAGTCTGTTGCGTGTGGGCAAAAAGGACCGTCGGTAGGGAATATCGCAGCGGCAACTCTGAGACGAGGCAGGATCGCGCGCAGCCATGACCGAGGCGGCCGCTGCTCCGGTAAGGGCGGCCCGCACAGACCATGTGGGGATGCGAAACGGTCTCTGAATTTGCCTGGAACACATCTTATCACCTCCTGAAATTGGGTTGAGCTCGGTAGAGTCTCAGGGAGGAAGACTAGGATTCCTATGCCTACAGGATAAAGCTCTTGTCTCTTGTCCGGGTTTTGATCATTCATAATATAAGCCAATTGAGCTTAACCAGGAAATGTCTGGGCCCGATACACTGGCTGTGGATGTTTTAACTCCACGGGACTCCTTTTCCGGGATTTCTCCACCATTATTGGCCATCACAGATCTATTCCTGAGCTAAGGCCCCTCCAGCTAGCCCTTTTGGTCCTGGGAGCCATAATCTTGTCCTTACGGGGGTTCCATGGGTTTCAGGCCTGAACTCGATTACATTCAGGGTGGATGCATACACCCTCACCTGCTATTTCCCAATAACCCCCGGGAAGATTTGCTACTGTAGTTGGTAGGGGGGAGTCATCGTTATAGAGGATGTTGGTTAGGTGTGTTTTAAGCTCAGGCTTGACCTATTGGCTTCCAACTCGTGTGAATGAACTGCTGAGATGCTGTCTCTGAAGGTAGAGGTCATCTGCTAGCTATAGCTTTGCAGTAACTTCAGAGACACTTCTAGGTGCCAGACTTGTGGCAAGGGTCAGAGAGAAACGAAGATATCTGACCCCTATCTGTGAAGACTCCTCCCAGCCATAGTCAGTGGTCAGACCCCAGGATGGCACCATGGTGCTGTGAAAGAAGGGAGGAAAGGATAGGTGTCAGTGACAAGTATCCAACTGTGTGGGGCACTTTGCTGTGTCTTTTTATGGAAGATGTCTTGGAGACATCACAAAAGTAGATTAATTTCAGTCTTTGGCTTATAATATATAAAAATCCTGGTCAGTAGTCTGGAACCTTTGTGTTTATTAGTAATACAGTATAAGGTAATGCCATGCAACCTGAGAGCTGTTTCATACCTGTAGCTTATTTCATTCTTGACCACCTAAGAGAGAGAAAGTCATGATGTCCTTGTAATTGAGAACACAAAGCCTTAGGGGGAGTAGTGTATCTTAGCCCCAACCTGCACAGAATCCAGTTCTGGAAGAGACCTGCTATCCCCACAGAGGAGCTCCTTGCTCTTTCATTATTTCGTTATACATGAAGCACTCACTGCCCAGCTCCTTTAGACAGGGTATTTTCGGGGTTATTTCCTTTTGACTATGATGCTTGCTTTCAGCTTTCTCTGGCCCCTGCTTACTGGCAGCTAAGATCAAGCCTTCCAGTGTGGTGACTATTCAGGGGCTGGTTGATGAGGTACCTCAGGCACAGAGACTTTGTGTCCAACTTAACACAAGCAGGAGTCGTCTGAGAGGGGGGAACCTCAACTGAGGAAATATCTCCAAAAGGTTGGGCTGTAGACAAGCCTGAAGGGCATTTTCTTAGCTAGTGTTTGGTGTGGGAAGGCCCAGCCTATTGTGGGTGGGCCACATCTGGGCTGGTGGTCCTGAGTTCTATAAGAAATTAGGCTGAGAAAACCATGAGGAACTAAACACTTCTCAATGGCCTCTGCTTTAACTCCTGCCTCCAGGTTCCTGCCCTGACTTCAGTGATAGACAGCGATGTAGAAGTGTAGCAAAGGAAATCATTTTCTAGTCAAGTTGCTTTTGGTCGTGGTGTTTCATCGCTACAGCAGAAACCCTAACTAAGACACCTAGTATCTCGGGCAGGTCAGGAATTCACACAGCGTTAGAATCACTGTGGGGGAAGCTGCTGTGAGAGGAGGTGAGGGTACTGGGCGGTGGTGGCGCACACCTTTAATCCCAGCACTCAGGAGTTCAAGACCAGCCTGGTCTACAGAGCTAGTTCCAGGGCAGCCAGGGACATATTGAGAAACCCTGTGTGGGGGAGAGGAGGAGCTGAGATTGCCATTGGGTATGCAGGTTTTGTAGTCTTGTTGGGCTGTGTCTCCAGAGGACAAAAAGGTGGTCAGTAAAAGTAGAGTAGTAGGGTTGGGGTTTTCTTTGGGTTGCCAGCCAGCTCCCAAATAAAGACACAGAGACTTATTAACTATGAATGCTGGGCCTTAGCTTAGACTTATCCCACTAGCTCTTTTATGAATTTAACCTGTTTATGTTCATCTACGTTTTGCCTCGGGGCTTTTTTTTACCTTTCTTTCATTCTGTCTGCCCTACTTTCCTGCTTCCTCTGTATCTGGCTGGCCCCTGAGCCAAAATTCCTCCTTCTTACTCTCCTTGCCCAGAAGCCCTCCCCATACCTCCTCCCTTGCTATTGACCAATCAGGTGCCTTAAGCAGGCAAGCAACACATCTTTACATAGTTCAATATTTGACAACATAAACAAATCTAACACATCTCACATCTTTGCATAGTTAAATAAATATTACATCTTTGCATAGTTAAATAAATATTCTGCAACAGAGCAAGATTAAATCTGGTATACATTTGAATGCTCACTATTTAATTTTCCATTGCAGTGACTCTAGGTTCAGTATTCTTCCCATGAAGGTTCTGTAGGGTCTGGTGTCTGTTGTCTTTGACTGGAGTCTGAACCCATTCCAGAAGATCCTGATCTTACTGTACTGAGAACAATTCTTGGCCTTCTTCTGGAAGCCAACCCATCTCCTTGTCTCTGGTCACAGGACTGGCATATGGGGACTGACCTCCAACAACAGGCCCAGATCCAGTCTGCGGAGATCTCCCTTTTAGCCATCCTGGCTGCTGTTCAGGTGGTGGAGAAGAAAACAGAGTCCCAAGCTGTCCATCTTCAAAGCCTGGAAATACGAACAGGGTCAGCTGAGAAGAGGCTGGCTGACTTTGAGAAGACAGCCATGGAGCTCAGCAGCCAGCTGGAGGGCAAGTGGGCCGTGCTGGGGACCCTGCTGCAGGAGTACGGGCTGCTGCAGCGGCGGCTGGAGAACCTGGAGAACCAGATGCAAACCCGGAACTCCTGGGTCCTGAGGCTGCCCGCTAGCAGCAAGGATGAAGCCCCCAAGGTATTCATAGAGTAAAGGGAGGCCTCCAGTCAAGTACAGTGAACCTTAAGAGCTTTTTAAAATGTCAGGAGGGTGTGACATTGGCAAGTTGTCTGCTTAGGCAGTAGAGTGAGTTGTTGGGAAGGACATGTTTGAGCAACAGCAGTTATCCCAGAATGGTTCCCCCCACCTTTTTTTTTTAATTGAAAAGAATTGTTTTCAGTTGGTGGCACACACCTTTAATCCCAACACTCAGAGGCAGGGGCAGGTGGATTTTAGAGTTCAAGACAAGGCTGGTCTACAGAGTGCCAGGATAGCCAGGACTACACAGAGAAACCTTGTCTCAGAGGGGAAAAAAAAAGAAAATGAAAGAAAGAAAAAAAATTGTTTTCATACATTATATTTTGATCATGTTTTCCCCTCTCCCTAATTCCTCCCAGAGCCTTCCTATCTTCTTACCTACCCAAATTTACATTCTTTTCTCTCTTTTAAAGAACAACAACAAAAAAAAAAAAAAAAAACCCACACCAAAACAGCTGGGCAGTGGTGGTGCACATCTTTAATCCCAGCACTTGGGAGGCAGAGGCAGGTGAATCTCTGAAAACTACGCAGAGAAACCCTGTCTCGAAAACACACACACACACACACACACACACACACACACATGCAGATACCAAAATATACAAGCAAAAGACTAATAAGATAAAAGCATGTCTAAACAAAGTAAAATTAAGCAAAGTCAATAAAAATACCATTTAATTTGTTTTATGTTGTCTAACTACTGGACGTGGGATCTGCCATGAAGTGTGTTAAATATACCCAGTGAGATGCCACTGAAAAACTGCTCATTCCTTTGCTATCAGCTATTAACTACAGATAGCTTCTTAGTTAGGGGTGGGACTTCCCTCCATCTCTGCAAGTTCACATGGACATCAGCCTGGCTGTGTCTGGAGGACACTGCTGCCCTGGAGTTGTCCTCTGACTCCCACAGTCTTTTTTCCTCCTTTTCCACATAGATCCCTGAGCCTTGAGGGGAGGGCTGATGAAGATACTCCATTCAGGACTGAATGCTCCAAAGTTTCTCGCTCTGCACGTTGTCCAGTTGTGGGTCTTTGCTAGTTCTCACCTTCTCTGATGATGGCTGGATGAGGCACTGATCTGCGTCTCAGCCTGGTGTGGCCACTGGGGGGATCTTTGGTAGAAAGTGTTCTGTATAGACAGCTGACACAGAGGAATGGAGGTGGGCTAGAAGGGAAGGCCCCAGGATGACTTTCGAAAGAGGAAATCTAAGAAAGCGTCTCCATTCAGCTTCTAACCGAAGATGCAGGTGTGCAATGGAGCTGGGAAGACACTTTTCTGTGGAAATGTGGGCAGAGGCTAGCATTTGGTCAGTGGTGCCCATAATTTTGGAGCCGTTTCTGGCTGTTCTCTGAAAGGGTGTGGGGATTTGTATTCCTCCAGGTTTCTATAACTACTGAAGAGGTGGCTGAGTGTTTCCCTGAGCAACAGGAAGGCAGCCCAGAAGACTGGCAGAAAGAGCTCTGCAAGGACGTAGCAAAAGAGAGCCGTGAGGTGCTGGGTGCTCTGGGTAAGAGGCTTCCAAATGTGTTTCATTGTTTTCCTCGGTGTGTTGAGACCTTTGGATCTGAGAGCCAGAGCAGATTGGTCTTAGAGGCTTTAGAAGATATCTTTAATTCCCATCTTTAGAATTAAGTGTAGACATGTTTCTGTTTTGTATGTACGGGTGGTTTTGCCTGCGTGTGTCTGTCTATGTATCTTATGCATGCCTGGTGCCTGCAGAGGCCAGATTACCTGGAACTGGAGCTGTAGATGGTTGTGAACTGCCATGTATGTGCTCAGAACTGAACCTGAGTCCTCCGGAAGGGTGTTCAGTGCTCATAACCACTGGGCCATCTCCAGCCCCATGGGCATGCTTTGTGAAGATATCTCAGGTCTGAGAATTGAGGGCTCGCAGTAAACACTAGGTCCTCCAGCCTCGTGTTCAGAAGTGTGTTATTATGTGATACTTGATTAGATCTGGAATTTTGTAGCTACATCCTCAGCTCTTGCATCATCTTGGAGCTTGCAGGAAGGTTAAATTGCTTATCCAAGACATCAGTGGAGACACACAGATTAGAATCTGCTCCTCACTGTCCAGTTCCTCTCAGTTCATTTCTGTGGAGTGGAGGCCTCCCCTGCTGTTTGTCCCTCTAGGACTTAGTTTGTAACTATACTTATTCTTATTCCACCACTGAATTTTGCTGTCAGTCCAGGAACTGTGGGAAAGGGTCAAAAGTGAGGCAGACAGTTTATCACCTCCATCAGACTTCTGATGCCCCAGCTCTTCAGCCTGCTTCCACCAAGTGTGTTCTCTTTAGGGAAGGAGCCGAGTCTTAGTTTGCTATTTCCCTTCCACGCGGTGCCTGGCACACTCTAGGGTGACACACAGCGAGAGTGAGAGCTCAGTTTTCCTTCTCCTCGGTAACAGCACTAAGGTGGAGTGCAGATCACAAAGCTGTTTGCTTTCCTTTGCTTTCCCGCTGCTAGAGACTGAACCTAGTGAATGCTATGGGAAGCCCCCTCCCACTGAGTTATAGCTCCAGCCTTTTTTCCTGATAGGATCTTACTCTAACCCAGACTGGCCTGGAAGTTACTGGGTGACTCTGGCTGACCTTGAATTTGGGCCTCCTACCTCAGCCTCTGGAGTACTGGAATTCTAGGTGTGAACCACCCTGTCTTTTTGAAAGGTGAAGAAATCCTTAGTTCAAATGAAAGAAACAATAGAAGAAGAGACCACTCCTGCTGAAAGGGGATAGATTCCCTGTTTGCTCAGAACAAAGGTACCATTCCATGTTGGAGGTATGTGTGTGTCTGCATGTGCCTGTGATGTTAGACCCCCTAGAAATGGAGCTAAGAATCAGTGGTGAGCATCCCCATGTAGGTGCTGGGAACCAAACCCAGGTCTGCTGTAATAATCCTCTCTCAAGCCCATTCCCTTGTTTTTAGATTTTTACTATATTTGAGGAGAAAAGCCCTCATTTGAAGGGAGCTAAATTAAGAAAGAACACACTGACTGGTTGGCAAGTTGCACTGAGGTTAAAAGTGTTTTGGGGGTCCCTGCATGGGTGGGGATACCACAGAGAGGGTACAGTGCCAGGATACAGAAATCAGCCAGTAGCACTTGAGAATGGAGTATAAGCAGGAAGGGCTTGCTTAGTAGGTAGTGACACTTGTTGGTTCACCGAGGACCCATGAATGGGTGTTGGCTGGTCTGTCCTTGGAGGTGCCCAGAACTTTTCTGTGGATGGGTGTCCTCAGGGGACTTAGGATTGCCTAGCCTTGGATGGTCCTTGCTGTCTTACCAGTCACTCCTTCCTCCAATAGCTTCTCCACTGTCATTTGGTGTAAGCTCGCTTTATTTTCCAGAGGCAGCTCTTCCTGCCAAATTTCTGAGGATCTTCAGTCGGTAAGCATGGGCATTACAGTTTCAACATGTTTAAGTGATTTGGACACCTTAGAGTCTGAGAAGCTGGTTAGAGGGTCACCTGGCAGGGGCTGATGAGCCTCTAGCCTTTAGATTATGCAAGTGCATTTTTATATGAATGTGTTTTTGCTCAGTAGTGCAGAGGTCAAACATTCTCTCTCTGGATACGGTCTTGCTATTAGATCTGGCTGGCCTAGAACTTATATAGACCAGCCTTGAGCTTGTATCTGTCGTTCTGCCTCTGCCTTCTAAGTCCTGGGATTACAGTTGTGCACCACCAGGCTCAATTTAAAAGACTTCTCGTGGACTGGAGAGTGCTCTGAAGCTAAGAGCACATGCTGCTATCTAAAGGCTCTGAGTATGATTCCAGCACCTGTACTCATATACCCTATACCCATATAGGCATCTGTGAGCTCCAGGGGATAACACTGCACTTGTGTGCACAGATACATATGTACAATATTTTTTTAAAGCCTCTCTTTATTGGCTACCTCCCCCATCTTAAGCCCCTCCCAGCATAGCTGCTGTTCTTATTATTGGTGTACATACTCAGAGACCTCACAATGTGTGTGTGTAAGTTAGAAGATAACTTGTGGGAATCACTTTTCTCCTTCTAATATGTGGGCTCCAAGAATTCAACTCAGGTCATCAGACTTGGTAGCAAGTGCTTTACCCAGGTGGTATATTACTGTTGACTTCGTTTTCCAAAGCTTGAAGTGCTTCCTGTTAAAAACGGAATTTTCCAGCTGTTAGGTTAAAATTATGGAAGCAGCCTGTGTAGGGGAGGTGGGTACTTGTGGTTGGGGAGCATCTTCTTAGTATGATTGGACCACAGGTGCCACCAGAACAATGGAAAGCTGACCCTGTATTTCCAGGTCCAAACTTAGAACAATATTGAAGTATGTGATTGGTAGCTAGATAGTTGTGGCTTGAATGGTTTCCTCTTTTAAGTTTCTTAACATTTATTCATTGGGGGAGAGCATGCATGATGTGCTGTGCTATGGATATGGATCTTAGAGATTGGAACAAACTAGTGAGGTCACGTGACCCTTGAAGGACACCTATCCTAGGGTACTGTGTTACTTAGGCTGCCAGAGACTGATAAAACCCACATTCCCACATTCCAGCACTCAGGAGGCAGAAGCAGGTGGAACTCTGTGAGTTAGAGGGCAGCCTGGTCTACAGAGTGAGACCCTATCTCAGAAAAAAAAAAAAAAAAAAGCTAGTAGGAACCGGGTGTAGTGGTGCACCCAGCCTGGTCTATAAAACAAGTTCCAGGATAGTCAGAGCCACAGAGAAACCCTGCTTTGTGGGGAAAAAAAAAAAAAAAAAAAAAAAAACTAGCAGGAGGGGAAGAATTGCCCTTTTTTCTTAGTACAATGCATTTATTTCCAATTTAACAAAGTTCAGACTTATAGACAATAAATATTGATCCATTTAAATCTCTTGTAGGTTTTGTCTTTTCGCATACATAAATGAAGTAAGCTTCAGAGAGGTTGGGTAAATCACAGAGATCATGGAGCTGGAAAAGTCTGAGCCTTTATTTAATCCTGTTGTTTATCTGCTTGAAGTGTTCTCAAAATATGCTCTGTATTCTGGAGGGATCTGTGGGCCCAGGCAAACTCGAGCTGTTCTTCCCTACAGGAAGACGGGTGGTGTGATGAAAGGCTGCTGGTCGTGGTTATTCAGAAGCCTTGTACCTCAGCTCTCCTGACTCCTATCATACTGTATTTTATTCTGCCTTTCCTGGGCTCTGTGATTCTTTTGGGAGTTCCTTGTGGTCACTAGAGGTTGTGACATCTGATGCCCTCGGGGCTTCTTTTCCTTAGAACCAGGCCAGCTGGAATCACCCCCCAGTGTTCTCCCCTGGATCAAGCAAGAGGAAGAGGCACATGAGAAGAGTCTGCGAGAGACAACCAGTGCCTATCTGTGCTCAGGTGAAGCCCAGGGATAGGCTGTATATCTGAGTCTATGAACACCTCCAGGGGGCTTTCTGTATTCATGTCTGGAAGTGGCAGCGAGCACGTATCCTGTGTTGTCCTGTTGTCTCTGCACCAGAATCAGAACCAGGATGTGGTAGGCAGGCTTTCTCATTCTTGGTCTTGGTGGCACATATCAGGGGCTGCTGTGGAGCTGCTCTTGGGAGCTGTTGAAGTATCGATGAGAAGAGGCCTTAAGCAGAGGTACACAACTTAGCTGTTAGGGCATTTGGATGACATGCAGATGGTACAGAGTGGGCCTCTGGCAGAAGGCAAGTGGGAGATACAGAGGGAGGGCCTTCAGTGACAGGGTCATGTGAGCCTCAGGCCTTCCATACCAAAGAACAGGGGGATCAGGCAGCCCAGCTCCAGACCTGTGGCAGGAATGGCTCATCTCTGTCTCTCCCCACCAGAAACCTGGCTAGCTAACAAGAAAAGGATCCTGGAGGGAGAGTCCGTGCTACCAGACCCAGTGTGGGCAACTGAAGGGAGCTCCAGCAAGGAGGACTTCGAGAGGAGAACCTGTGGGGACCTGCTCCCCGTTTCCAGAGAGAGAGAGGTGGCCTCCCTCCCCCGAGGCTCTCAGAGTCAGCCTGTGCCAGCTACTGAGGGCACTGAGAATGGCCAGGACTTCGTTGTCAAAGAGCTCAGCACTCAGCTTGTGCACCCACACCATGGATCTTCGCCCTTTGCCAGTCTCCAGTGCCCCCAGAATGCCACACAGCAGGTCACTCTCACCAGGAACCGTCGTGCATCCACAGCCCAGCGTGCCTACACCTGTGTCCAGTGTGGCAAGAGCTTCGTCCACCAGTCAACACTTACCACGCACTACCGCACACACACAGGGGAGAAGCCTTATAAATGCGCTGAGTGTGAAAAGCGGTTTGGCCGCCTGTCCACACTGCTGGAGCACCAGCGCACCCACACGGGAGAACGGCCCTTCCCGTGTGCACAGTGTGGCCGTCGTTTTGGGCGCCTGTCCACACTGGTGGAACATCGGCGCACACACACGGGTGAGAAACCATTTCCATGCACCCAATGTGACAAGCGTTTCACACGCCTGGCCAATTTGACAGTGCACCAGAGTGTGCACTCTGGTGAGCATGCTTTCCAGTGCACCCAGTGTGGCTCCTGCTTCACGCACAAACCTAGTTTCCTACGGCACCTGCGCAGCCACTCTCAGGAGAAGCGTTTTACCTGCGGCCAGTGTGGCAAGAGCTTCACCTGTCGCTCCTGGCTGGTGCGCCACCAGGGCAGTCATGCCCGCTCAGCCTCCTCTGCTTATGTGGCTGGTGAGAAGAGCTCACCAAGCTTTGAGTCACCTACAAGTCTCCTTAAGGGTGCAGCTAGGGGAAAGTTTTCCAGTGACCCTTCTATCCCCCCCAGATCCAAGGACACTAAGGCCTATGGCAGAGGTCAGCAGCTCAGCGACCATGGTCAGGAAGGTCTGGTGGGATCTCTGCATAGCTGTCTGTCTGTAAAAATGGAGAATGCAGGGTAGCACCCAGAGAATCCCTAATGAGGCAACATAGGGCTTCTGGGTCCCCTTGAACTCAAGCTGCTTCTCCCAAGGGACACTTCTTGGGTCAGATGTGTGGTACCTGCCATATGTAGGCTTCCCAGGGGATGGTTCTCTCCCATGGACTGCAGGTGCTAAGTGCCCCTGAGATTCTTGCTGCAGGGAAGGTTCCTCTCCCGAAATGTTGCAGAAACAGAGGTGAAGGAAGAATGAAGCATGAGTCTATCTGCCGTCAGCAGCAGAGGCCCTGACTCTGGCTCCCTGATATCACTGTCTCAGCAGTTCAGGCAGCAGCGTGGGCTTTTCACCCAGCAAGGGTTGCTGACGAGTTAGGATTGCTACAATTTTGAAAAGTTGAGTTGTTCTGCTTCCATCTGAGCAACTCTATTCAAAACTAGTTTCCAAGAGTTCCAGAGGGCAGGGCTGGGAATGTGACTTATCATTGTTCATCTGGCATGCATGATGGAACCATGGTTCAGTCCACACTTCAAGTTAAACTGGCTGTGAGGGCACCTACCTGTGATCTAGCATTCCTGTTTATGCTGAAGGGTCAGAAGTTCAAGGTCGCGTCCCTGTTTAAAGAAACAAAATATCCCTTAGGAGTTCAAGGACAGAGTTGGCAAATACCCCACATCTCGCCAGTGGCCCCATGTTTTAGAATAAATGCATGTGTGTTCCCGAGGGCTCCTTCTGGAGGGGAACTGTGTCGTTGTCTCCACTTTGGAAGAATGTGGCTAAAAGACCTGTGCTGCTCGCTATCTCTCTGGTCTTTGTCTACATCTGGGGGTAGTTTTCACATATTCACTTAAAACCTATAAATAAATATTTAGGAAGAACTGTAAACCCTTCCCCTTGTCCTGATGATCCTGCCCAAGTTTGCTTGTTTATTTTGCAGTAATATTATTTAGCTCCAGATTTGGGTAACAGTGAGTTATTTTCAACTGTGTGTCCATGTTGAAGTTCTGAAAGAAAACATGATGCAAAGCACCATGGAGTCAGGCTTGGGTGGGGTGGCTGATGGCCTGAAGGGCGCTGTGTCTGGGCCATCGGAAGTACAATTGCCTGCAGCTCTGGCCTCGATGGACACACACACATGAAGCATATACATGTCTGCCATGTGCACGTAAATACAGAAGCTGTGGGATGGGTGGTAAGGGCTGTCCATAAGGTGGCCCCATACACTGTTCACTTCCCGCCTCCATATTTATATATTAACTTGCATCAATCCTGAGGTCTATTGATTATAAGATAACCTTTATTTTCTACTTCTCTAAGCAAAAAAAAAAAAAAAAATCTGTAGCCCTGTCCTTATGATTTACCAATGCAAGTTAAGTGCACCCCAGCTGCAGCTGTATTCTCAGTGTGAGCGAAGTGTCAGGCTCTCCTGGGGAGATCTTGAGCAGATGTCTCCCCCCTCCCCAGGTGCTAGTGGCACCTCACTGTTACTTTGCACCCTTTAGAGCCTTTACATGACACACACATCCCACACTCAGCATGGACCCTCATAGCAACCCCAGTGCCATTTTAAAGGTCCCGTAGTAGCCGGGCATGGTGATACACGCCTTTGGTCCCAGCACTGGAGAGGCAGAGGCAGGCTGAGCTTTGGGTTTGAGGCCAACCTAGTCTACAAATCAAGCTCTAGAACAGCTAAGTCTTTACACAGTGAAACCCTGTCTCAAAAAACAAACAAGAAAACCCACCCTTAACATGGAAAGTACTCCTTGATGAGCAAATGCCTCTGTAGAACACAAGTCCCCAGCTGCTCTGTCATACTAGGGGGACAAGGACTTTGAAACTAGGCCTGTTCTGCAGTGCCTTCCTCAGGGAAGCGATCACTTCCCAAACACCCGTCAGGGTGAGGACGCCAGGGGTCCTCCCTCACAAAGGGCTTGCATCTGGTTGCATTAATCTCAAAGAATGAACAAGTTTTGGGAAAGTGCTATGGGAGCTAGGACTAGAGCCTGGTAGAATGTTTGCCTAGAATTCACACAGCTGTGGATTTGATCCCCAGTACCATATAAACTCGCAGCTATGGTGTAGACCAGTAATCCAGCAGTTGGCATGTGGAGGCCAAATGATCAAGTTCATCCTTGGTTTCATAGGGAATCCAGGGCCAGCCTCACAACTTAAAACGCTGTCTTCAACAAGTCCTGAAGCCGGCCTGGACTATGTAGTTTGATCACCTCAGAAAAAAGTCTTACGTGACAGGAACTGAATGTTTGAAAACAGGAAGTGGGAATGCTCAGGGACAGGGCAGGAACGACAATCTAGTCCAGGGTAAAGGTGCTGGAGTTTGACTAGTCTGAAGTTTGAAGCCTGAAGAGGTTGGGTTTGGGAGAGCTGTGGAGAGAACAGGTCCTGTGTCTGAAGCTGTGGAGCTGGTAACGAAAGAAAAGCCTTTCCCTCTCTGCTTGATCTACCCAGAAACGAGGCAGTCCGGCACACACAAAGGCCAACCCAGGCTTTCCTCACCATGATGGACCATATGTTCTTATACTGTGACCTAAGATAAATCCTTCCATTAGATTGCTTCTGTAGATGTTCTGCCAGAGTACCACAAAAATAACTACTGTATTCCCCTTCTGCTCTTTTGTTACTTAGATATGCTGAGTCCATGTCTTGCATTGCAATAGCCCAGGCTGGCCTGAAGCTCCTGACTCAGCCTGTGAGGTTTACAGTGTGAGGAACCCTGCTTGACTTCACTATTTACATTGGCCCTTCCTCTTTCCCTTCTTTGGCCTCGTTTCTTCATAGCCCTTTGTCTGGCCTACAGCCATTTAATTATCTTCCTCCAGGACAAAATACACAAGACTGGGACCTTTTGTTCCTGAACAAAACCACCCGGCTTGCCTTAGATAATTACCAAATCTATTCACTAAGGAGTGGACAGATAAGTGTTGTAAAGGCACTGGGTGTGGTGGTACGCACCTTTAGTCCCAGCTCTCCAGAGGCGGAGGCAGGCAGATCTCTGTAAGTTCGAGGCCAGCCTGCTCTACCTATTGAGTTCCAGGCCAGCTAGAGCTACAAAATAATAATACCTTGCCTCAAAAGCTATGAAAGCTGGCAAAGCTGAGGCAGACACTTGGGGTGATGATAGCCGAAACGTATGTTTCAGAAGAAAGCTGTACTATACCTGTTATTCCTTTATAGCTCTTCATTCTCGACTTATTTTAACGCATCTAGTTTCTTCTATATTTGCTTACAAGTCTCACCCCTGTCATCATCTGGTTGGTGCAGGTGGTTAACTTTAGGCTTGAGTTTATAATTGGAAACCATTATACAAACCAGGATTGCCAATATGCTGCTACAATGTCCCTGTACTATTCCTTTTAAGGTGGTACCTGTTACCTGTCAAATCTCTATAGAAATAAAATTATCTGAGTCATGTTAGCCCAGTGCTTTGAAGTCGGCACCTATGGAGCAGTGAAACTGAAATAATAATAAGTTTTAGGCAGTCATAGACTGAGGGCCATTTCTTCTGAACCTTGTTGCTCAGAAATGGCTAAGAGAGTTGCAATGGGCTGGAGAGATGGCTCAGTGGTTAAAACTTCCAGATGGGCCTGGGTTTGATTCCCAGCACCCACATGGCTGCTCGTGCCTTACCTATGACTCCAATCCCCAGGTCCAGGGGCTCTGAAACTCTCTCTGGCTTCTGTAGACATCAGGAACATTAGTGGTGCATGGGTATACTTGCAGACAAAACACCCATACTCATACAAAATATTCTCTTTAAAAGGGTCTCGAAACCAGCAATACCACTGTTGGGTATATACCCAAAGGATGCTCAATCGTACCACAAGGACATGTGCTCAACTATGTTCACAGCAGCATTGTTTGTCATAGCCAGGACCTGAAAACAACCTAAATGCCCCTTGACTGAAGAATGGATAAGGAAAATGTGGTACATTTACACAATGAAGTACTACACAGCAGAAAAAAATGACATCTCAAAATTTGTGGGCGGGGCTGGAGAGATGGCTCAGAGGTTAAGAGCGTTGCCTGCTCTTCCAAAGGTCCTGAGTTCAATTCCCAGCAACCACATGGTGGCTCACAACCATCTGTAATGGAGTCTTCTGGCTTGCAGGCATACACACAGACAGAATATTGTGTACATAATAAATAATAAAATATTTTAAAAAAATTTGTGGGCAAATGGATGGATCTAGAAAATACCATATTGAGTGAGGTAACCCCGACCCAGAAAGACAAATATCCTATGTACCCATTCATAAATGGCTTTTAGACATAAAGCAAAGAAAAACCAGCCTACAAATCACAATCCCAGACAACCTAGACAACAATGAGGACCCTAAGAGAAACGTACATGGCTCTATCTACATGGGAAGTAGAAAAAGACAAGATCTCCTGCGTAAATTGGGAGCATGGGGACCGTGGGAGAGGATAGGAGGGGAGAGAAGAGAGGGGAGCAGAGAAAATATATAGCTCAATAAAAACAATAAAAAAGGATCTTGAAACTGATGGTGTACACCTTTATTCCCACACTCAGAAGGTATAGGTAGACACAGGTGTCCCTGAGTTCAAGACCAGCCTGGTCATACAGTGAGTTCCAGAACAGCCAGCACTATAGTGAGACCCTGTCTACATCATGTGTAGACACAGGAATACATATAATGCCCTGTCAGATGCATTATGGGGATGGCTCATAAACCAAAAAAACCCAAAACAACAGAAACAAAAAAACAAGACAACACCCCCAAAATCACTTAACTATAGGTAATAAAATAGGGTGTGTGTGTGTGTGTGTGTGTGTGTGTGTGTGTGTGGTGCATACATTTGAGTGGGTGCCTGAATGTAGTGGCCTGAGCAGAACACAAAGTGTCTTCTTCTAACTCTCTGCCTTGCCTCGAGACAGAGTTGTTCATTAAGCCAGAAATCTGTTGTTTCTGATAGGCTCTTGGGATCCTACTGTCTCTACCCTTCAAGGTTGGTTTCAGGCACCCATGGCCATTCCTAGTTTTTTATGTTGTTTCTGGGGATTCAAAGTGCTAGGATTATGAGCTTAGGTTCCCATGCTTGTGCTCTTATCCACTGAGCCATCTCCCCAGTTCCAGTTTTAATGGAGTGCACAACTGTTTGTGTGTTTTCCAGGATGGTCTTGGCCTCCCGGGTGGGCATCACCACAGGCAATGCTATTGCCATGATAAACTAGTCTACTAGGTCTGATGCGGCCCAGGCTGGCCAAGGATGACCTTAACTTGCTTTCCAGCCTCCATCTGCCTATTTAGAGGCTGTGTCAACTAGAGCTTCATGAACACTAGGCAATCACTCTACCAACTGAGTTATACCCAGTTTATTTTAAGAGAATATACATGTTTATGTGGGAACACAGATGACAAGTGGGGAAGGAACAGAGGTGAAAGGGACAGGTATTCCATAGCACACAAAAGAAAGTTCCTAGAGCACATTGGAACTTTGTTCTTTTTTCACCTTCTTCCTTTTGAGATGGGAAAGGTGGCCTGGTGATTAAAGTACTTTCTGCTCTTACAGAGGACCTGGGTTTGGTTCCCAGCATCCACATGACATCTCACAACCATACACACTCTAATTCTGGAATATCCAGTAAACTTGTCTAGCTTCTGCACTCCCATGTGCACACATATACACATAGGCAAAATACCCATGTACATAAAATGATAAACTTTTAAAAATTATTTTTATTGATTTTTTTTGGACTCAGGCTTTCCTTATGTAGTCCTGACTGGCCTGGAAATCACTCCATAGACTTTGCTAGCCTTGAACTCAGAAATTTATCTGTTTTTTCCTCTTTTATGAAAATAATAAGACTTTAAAAATATCATAAAAACATATATGTGGTGTTGTTG